ACAAAAAGGGCATAACATTTGTCTACCTTACACAGGGGCTTAAGCAGTGCGTTGGAGAAGTGCAGAGAAGCCAACTCCATTCCTTCTCTTTTGCCAAAAGCTGAAAGCATATTCTTTTCCTTCTCCTTGGTTTAGAGGAAATTCAGTCTTCCCTCACCCAAGCTTAAACACAAGAATTTAAGAAGTGCCATACTGGGTCAGACTGATGCTCTATCTAGTCCAGTATCCTGTCTCTGACAATGGCAGCAGTGACTGCTGTAGAGGGAGAGCACTGAACCACATATCTCTAGAGTGATCTATCTTCTATTCAGAACTCTCCCTGGCATCCACCATCATAGGTTTAGAGATGCCAGAGAAAACATTTCCAACCAGTCTGTTCAAAAGCTGTTAATAGATCTATCATCAATTAATTTATCCAGTCCCTTTCTGAACCTGGGTACGCTATCCGCCTGCACCACCTCCTGTTGGAATAAATTCCACAAGTTGACTATGTATTGCATAAAAAGTACTTAATCTTATTAGTTTTAAACCTGTCACCTACTAATTTCAGCAAGTGCCCCCTAGTTATGGTATTCTGGAACTTAGTGAACAACAATTCCCTGTTCACTTGGTCCATGCCTTTCATGATTTTATAAAAATGTTGGAACAAAATTGGGCCCAGCACAGATCCCCGTTTTTGACCTCCCTCCATCCTGAAAAGCTTCCCTCTCCTTTCACTGGTTTAAACCTCTTTCACAACATTTAGATTCACCAGTCAGGGAATCTGAAGTGAGAGCAGTAGGAAGATTTAGTTCCTGGCCAAGAGAGATCTGGATCAGGAGCTGCTACCTAGTATGAAAGTGAATGCCTTTCCGAATTAGTTAGTCTTTAAGGTGCCACCATGCCCTGTTTTTTGCCTGACTTCAGATGAATGCAGCTAAGTATCTCTTGCTGAATGATAAGGAAAGAACAGGTGTCCCAACTAAGACGTTCCTATGTGCCTTTTCTCCTCTATAGGAAGCTATCCCAGCAGACTCCCCACACTGGGGGGTGGGGCCCACAAGACAAAGGTAACTTTCTGCCTTTTCTTCCTACAGGAGGAAAGGGTTGGGAGAAAACTACCACAGACAGCTACTCATTCTCCATAACAGAGAAAGGAAGGAAATGCCCATCTTCTGCCAGCTCCCTTTCTCCCCAGGTATACATAATATAAATGATACATCAAAGATCTTTTGCAATGCCTGTCTTGTGAAATACTGGGAGTTTCTTAGGGCTCTGCAACATTTCCATTTGTTTTACAATAATAATATAGAGCTGTAGTGTGTCAGATACTACCATGAGGAGCATCAGGGGCAGGCCCACCTTGCAGCAACAAACGATCCAGACATACACAGACATACCTGTCTTTAACTGGCTATGGCCCTACGTGGCAAACTGAGCCCCTCTTAGACATACTTCATCTCATCCCTTGCTGCATTCCATTACTTAAAAAAATATATATAAAACTGCCTCGTATCAATACTGTGGATGACGAGAATCAAAATAGCTGAACACCCTTGCTTACAGTGATCTTGTGTGTGTTCACATTAGACATACTGATGTTTTTCAAATGCTCTGAAACCCTTGGATGCTACACAATGACAAAACAGTAGCAGATAACCTATAAATAAAGCTCAGGTCTGTGCTTTGTGTTCCATAAAGTATATTCACAAACATAAATACAAATATAAAAATGATTTAAAGAGAAAGGAAATTGCTGATCCCTCTCAAAAAAGCCACTGCTATTAAACCTGGATTCTAAAAATAATTACATCAGAGTCTATGTTAAATTCTGACTATGCCTATCATTCATGTACTGCCCCCTATTGGTCAAAAACGTTCTGTCAGGCCTATGAAAACATGTCTACAATTAGTGGCTGGGCATACAAAGCTATATATCCTAGGGAAGGGAAAAGCAAGGAGGATATCAGAATTTGAGAAATGCTGAAGAAAAGGAAGGGAATGGATTACATAACAGTTATCTTCCTCATTTGGGAGTTGGGAGTCGGGGGGAATTTCTCTGAAAATAAATGAAAACACATGTGATGATAAAGTTAAATAATTTATTCCCCACCTATAAAGCCTTTGTGTGTGTATTTGAAAATGAAAAGGTTCTGATTCAGTAAGAAGAAAACAATAATTGATTTCCCCATCTATTTACTAGTCAGGCCTGCCACTCTTTTGCATATACATTTTAATACTGACACACTTTTTCTAACCACCATGCCCAAATGGAGAGGTCTTTCATAAATATTTAC